GCAAACCATATGTATATATATATATATATATATATATATATATATATATATAACAGCAAATGACTATTTCCCATGGATGCCATATATACCCTATTTGGCATATATACTTGTTTGAACAAGTCTCATCCGTTATGTGAGTTAAAAATGTATCAAAATCATGATTCTATGAAAATCACATAGAAACACACGTGTGTATATATGCACACACACACACACACATATATACACACAATCATTGGGGAGCTAACGCCGTCGGGGCCGCATCCACCCTTCTGCACCGACGAAGGTTCCTTGTGGAGAAAAGACAGGCAGGGGCCCCAGCTCTTCTCAACAGGTTTGATGAATCTGCCCAAGCCGTGACTTCCTAGGTTGTCCCACAGGCCTCTTCCACCCATGATTGCCTCAAGCAGAGATAACATGGATAGTGCAAGTACCAATCTCATGGTGTAACCGTTGGTTGTACACATGATCCCGCCAACTGTACTCCATGATCTGGCACAAGGACCTGTTACAAAAGGCATCGAGATGATATTTGAAGGTACAAGACAGCGTCCAGGTTTCAATTTTATTTAGTAAAACTGGTAGTAACAGGGCTTTGAAGACATGTAAGCTTGGTCCTTCTGCACAGGTACTGGCACATCCAAATACTCTTGTCGAGAGTTAATGCTGCCAGGCCAATTTGTTTACTGACTTCCTGGTCTTTACATATTAAGGTATATAAAACTCTTTGTAACCTCTATGCCCTCACTGCAAGCACGTACCAATTGAACAGGTTCTCCTAGCAGGCCCCCAAAGTCCTGGATCTTAGTCTTGTTACAGGAGACCTCTAGATCCAGGGGCTTTACTTTATTACTAAATGCATCATGAGTTACCACTAGGGTTTTCAAAGACTTGGATAGAATAGCAACAACATTAACAAAGTCAAAGTTAGTAATGTTGATATTGCCCAGACTTGCTCCACAATGACTTTGAACAGTAGTTCTATCCGGTATCCAGTGCATACAAGTGTTGGAAAGTGTTGGTGCAAGAAGACAACCTTGCCTCATTCCTGAACTAACAGGGAAGAAACTCGACAGGCCCCACCACACTTTACAGCACTTTCAGTACCAGTATATAGGCTTGCTATTAATCCAATAATCCTTGTTGGAATTCCTCTTAGTCTCAAGATCTGCAAGAGGGTTTTGCGATGTATTGGATTGAACGCCTACTTGAGGTTGATATAAGCTGCAAGCAACCCACGCTCACGACGGCGTTCTACAATAAGTCGAAGCACCAGGATACAGTCTACTGTGGACTTACCAGGAGTGAATCCAGATTGTTCCAGCCTCTGGTGCCACATCAGGTGGTCTCTGATATGTCTCAGAAGGATGTGAGTGAGAACCTTGCCTAGAATACTGAGCAATGCAATGCCTTGGTAATTGTTGCAGCCCCATCAATCTCCTCTCCCCTTCCAGAGAGGGATAACCATATCCCTCTACAGGTCAGGGGGGATGGTACCAGTCTGCCAGATGGCAAACCCCTAGCCATAGGTTCTCCACCAGCCTGGTATGCCACAGATACCAGCTGCTTTACCCCTCCAACTTGGAGATTGCTTTCCCCAAATTTCAGTTAGGGAGGATGAATCCTCGCTGATGGGTGGGTCTAGCAAATCTCAACACTACCTGCATCCAAGGTAATTGTTAAAGGATCAACCTGGTACAATTGCTCTGAATACTCAGCCCAATGTTCCTGCATTCCATCAGGATCTGAGATGATCTGGCCACTTACTGAATAGACTGTAGCCGCCTATGAGGAGGGCTTGTAATTCAGCTTTCTTAGGGAGTAGTAGGCAGGATGGTCATTTACTAAGAAATGACCTCCAACTGCTGCAGAACTACCAAAGGTAGCCTCAGTAAATCCCTGGGCACACTCCACACTGTCCAGCCATCCACACTATGTGGGTCCCATGGACTTTGCCCCACAAGCCTCACGCTAGGCTGGCGGCCACCGGGGTACAGCAGGGACAGGTACTTGCTGGGTGAGAGGGACGTTCGCCCTCCCCCCTGTACCATCCCCTACATGAATCTCCGCCATTGGGTTCTCTTGGGGAGACGGACTGGCAAGGCTCGCCTCCCCACGCTATGGTGTGTCCACACAACGGAGGGCAATATCTACGTACCTTATATATATACATGCATATTTATATATACATACATATATATATATATATATATATATATATATATATATATATATATATATATATATATATATATATATATATATATATACATACATACATATATGCATATATGCATATAGATACATAGATATAAGCACATATGTATATATACATAAATATACATGTATATATGTATGTCTGTGCGTGCGTGTGTTTGTACATGCATGTGTGTGTACATATATATATATATATACATATATATTTACATATATATATATGTGAATATATATACATATACATATATGTGTGTGTTAGTGTGTCTGTGTATATGAATAAATATATATGTATATATAGATATATGTACGTGTGTTTGTGTGTGTTTATGTGTTTGTTTGTATATATATATGCGCATGTAAATACATATACATATCTATGTTTTTATATATGCATACATAAATGCATTTATAGAGCGACAAAGACATTCATATACACACGCAGAGCAATTGAAATTTCCCAGAAACACTTGCGGCTGCCTCGTCTGGCTGGCGAGGCGGGGCTTCTGGCCTATATAAGGCGCCTCGTGTTCCGTCCTCACACAGTCAGTCGTCGGCGATCGTGCTTTCAGCTACTTGCAACATGATGGTTAGAACCAACTGAATTGTTCAAGCAAAGCCGTTATTTATTTATACCAGCCTCATGCTTCTAGATATTATTCATTAGTTGTGTCAGATCTCTCATATATATAATACAAAACTATTTTAGCTATCAATGAATAATTCATTCTTATGTAATTCATCTATGTTTTATTATCTACATTATCAATAAGAACAAGTAAGAAAAAAAATCTGATTCGGTTCCAGATCCGTGTGCTCCTCCTCCTGGTCGTGACAGCCGTTGTCTTCACGGCTGCCACGGGAAACGCCGGCGGTTGCAGATATTTCTGCAAGAAGTGGCGACCGGGGGACGAAACGAGGCCCAGTTACTGCTGTGACGATGGAACGGTTAGCGACCCGCCTCCCCCTACCGGTAGGTTGATATGCATACATACATATAAACACACACACACACACACATATATATAAATTTTCAAATCGCTGCTTTTTCTTATTTATTAGTGTAGTGGAGGGACAGAGAAGGATTGGCAGAATACTTCATGTTGTGCCCATTTTGTGAGGTAAACGAAGTACAAATGCAAAGCAAAATGACAGACACAATCAGTTTCCCCTTCCCTCCCCCCCACGTTCCTTTGTACTAAATACCACTAAAAGAGGACTGCCTTGGATTTCAGAACACAGCGGATTCTGCCCCGACATTCGGCAACACTGCCTTCGCTTTAAAAACAAACCACCAAATGTGAGTTACATTTTATTTCAATCTGCTTGATGTTTACATCAGCAGACCTCTCTTTCGTTTTCCAATTTAAAGTTCAGATCACATAAACATGTGTGATATTTTCAACATGTTAAGACGTTACCATTTACGTTTTTGAGCTTTACCTTCCTTTTCCCTCGCCAGGCGTGTCCCCACGACGGTTTCTGCCCGCCCCACCAGAAGTGCTGTTGGGACACCTGCTTGGACCATCATACATGCAAACTCGCTGAGCCTGTTAATCCAATCCCCATTTAAAGTAATGGCTGAGCCTCCGAGGGTGCGCTCCGTAATTTGTTGAGTTTCTTGTTCTGAATTCTGTTTTTGGTTTCTGTTTGTTAAAACACGTGAGAGTTATCATCTATGTACTATCTATAGGCAATAAATCATTTTTTTTCATGAAGACTCTTCTTTGGTTCCTAAGACCTTGAACCTTGTTTCATATGACGGTTTGGAAGCACTAAAAGGCTCCCTTGACTATGATTATTAACAATAACAGTGATGGCAGCAGCATGATAAACTGCAACAAAACTGTATTAGATGGTGGTCATATCTGCAATAGTTGCCAATACCAAGAACACGGAATCACTACTACTGCTACTACTGCCCCAAAGCCGTGCCAGTGAAAAGCTGGTAAAACTGAATTAAACTAAAAAAGAAAGAAAGAAAGAAAAAAAAAAACTATGTTCCCACGACCCTATCTCACTAGCCGCACTGCTAAACAATGTGAGCTACATGTAAGATCAAGTGGCAGAACAAAACCACCTTAAGAGGAACAATATATTGGCTTTCTGTCAGTCCCTCAGGTTCTTCGTCTCCTAAGCCTTCGGTCTCGCGGTCAGTCGTCTGTCATTCTCGTGGCTTTTGGGTCTCTGGTATCTTGGTCCCCTGGCCCTTCGATCCCATTGAGTCTCTGGGCCTCCTATTCTCATGGTTTTTCGGTCTCTGACTCTTTTTCATTCGGTCTCTTAGTCTCTCACTTGGTCACTTGGCCACTTTGAGAGTCTTGGCCTCTCGCTGTTTCTGTTTCAATATTGTTATTAGTTTTCAGTATTTGCTACAGCTATAAGTAGTGGGCTAATGCTATTTTCATTATGCTTAAATTCTGACATTACTTTCAGCACTTACAACAGGCTTAAATATTCGGTGAGATACGAATGCTATTTTGAGTACTTATAATGCTTACTTCAGAATGCTCATCTTATTTCCGTATATCATGAAGCGTGAGCGCGGGTGCTCTGTTCTCAATGACTTTTGCATGAATTCAACTGAGACAAGGAGAGAAAAGTGCAATCGGCTGTCGGACATACTATTTACCATCCTGGCAAACTGCACAGATATGGGCAAGCTGTGGTATATTTGATGCATGGTCATAACTTGCATTTCAGGCTATAGCATTATGATAAGTACTATGGCAGTTAAAGGAAAGGAACAATTACATAGGCCTTCCTTGTTTGCAATATCAAAGGTAGATTTAAGATCAGGGAATACGGTTTGCATGTCCGGGTTTGAGTTTGTTAAGTACTCTGCAGAACAATGCTGACTGCTATGGCCTGGGAGAAATCCATACAGTCTGAGGGACAACGTAGCATTTATGCAATACGTAAGCCTGTTCTGAATTATTTCTCTCAAGTACTTTGCATAAGACAGGAGGTCAAGGAAATGGGCTTGTATTTGTAAGTATTGGGTCTGGGTATAGGAAGGACTAAGATTTTAGTCCAGGAGCTGGGGAGGATTCCTTTGATAGGCTGAGCCTATACAGGTGTTGCCTGGCACTTAAGCAATGTGGCGAAGGCTGCTGTAATTCCATCCTCGCCAGGGGCAGTTGCCTTACCTTTAGAAGGCCATTGCTGAGTTCCTACTCGGTTATTTCAGCAAAGTCGGAGAGATCAATAGCAGCACAAGGTACTGCTATATTAAAATTTCTATCTATTTTCGACTTGTTGAGCTGATCTTTTATCCCTTGTGGAAGTGAGTGTAACTGAGAATTACAGCCCACTGCTCTAGCAGCGTATTAGCCTGTTCTTGTAGACTGTGGAACTGCGATTTTGTGAGAGCTTTACCTGTCAGCCTAATATTTTTCCTCGATACGTCAGCTACAGAAGTTTGACTAATGATACTTCACAAGAATTATTCCCAGTGTTTACTACGAATCTGAGTTTTTAATTCTCTTAATTCCTTGGGTTTAAGAAACTGCAGAATATTATCTGTTGTCTTATTATCTCCTGAACCCAATAATGTTCCTTGGCCAGAATTGGGTCATTAATCCACCTCGATGCATGGGAGGCCTGGGGCTTCTTTTTCTTTGAGAATTGTCGTGAACAGACCCATGTGTTATAGTAGTCAGTGACAAAATAAAAAAAAATCAGCGGTTATTTCATAGTTCTTATACCAGTCATAGACCCATGCCTTGAAGTGATGCTCCAGGCCCGGTGGGATGATTATTACATCGTGTAATTTTCTTTTGTACAGGCGATAGTATTCACGTTTTACACAATGCACTTTTCTAGAATTTTGTGGATAAAGCAAACAGGTATCAATGTTTCTTAAATGTCACAAAAGCGGTGACATGACAGTTCATGTGTATGTGTGCGAATGTATTTGTGTGTGTGTTCCTAGGGTGAAAAAAATCCTTCCATACACGCTCATCAGTCTAAGATTCGCGCAGTTGTTCAGTTGTTTTTCCCTTCTCTGTTTTGTTCATAACGAAACAGAGAAGGGAAAAACAGGATGGGGATAGGATGGAGGCGGGATGAGATAGGGACAGATACGAAAGATAAAGGAAGTAGGGAAAAAGAAGTGGAAAAGGGAGAAATAAGTGGGGAAATAGAGGGGAGTGAAGAGACGAAAGAGGGACACAAGAGAGCAAATAAGGGTACGAGAGGGATAGAAGGATCGGGGAAAGGAAAGGGGGGATAGGTGATTGGTATGGTCGGGGGGGGGGGGGGTGAAGACCTCGCACGTATGTATATATGATATATATGTATATATACACATAGATGTGTGTCTGTGTATATAAATGAATATTTGTATATATATGTATATATGTGTCTATGTGTTTATATATTTTTATGCATACACATACACATACGTATATATGCATATGTGTGTATATATACATATGCATATTTATGTTTTATGTTTGCATACATATATATCTATAGAGAAAGAGGCAGAAAGAGAGATTCATATACACACACAGAGCATTCGAAATTTCCTGGAAACACTCGCGGCTGCCTTGTCTGGCTGGCGAGGCGGGGCTTCTGGCCTATATAAGGCGCCTCGTGTTCCGTCCTCACACAGTCAGTCGTCGGCGATCGTGCAGTCAGCTGCTTGCAACATGATGGTTAGGACCAGCTGCATTGTTATGTACTTAGACTTTGCGTTCAGCCTTGTGCTTGTAGAAATTCGTCATGAGTTTTCATATATTTTATGGCAAATATTTTAGACATCAATGCATAATTCATTCTAATGATGTTATCATCATAATTGTAATGATAATTGTCATTTATTCATTTATGTTTTAATATCTACATTATCAATATGAGAAAGTTAAATAAAAAATATTCGATTTCAGATCCGTGTGCTCCTCCTCCTGGTCGTGACAGGCCGTTGTCTTCACGGCTGCCACGGGAAACGCCGGCGGTTGCAGATATTTCTGCAAGAAGTGGCGACCGGGGGACGAAACGAGGCCCAGTTACTGCTGTGACGATGGAACGGTTAGCGACCCGCCTCCCCCTACCGGTAAGTTGATATGCATACATGCATATAAACACACACACACACACATATATATGTAACTTTTCTTTTCAACTTTTTTTCTTTTATTTATTAGTGTAGTGGAGGGACTGAGAAGGATTGGCAGAATACTTCATGTGCCCATTTTGTGAGACAAACGAAGTACAAATGCAAAGCAAAATGACAGACACATAACTCTCCTCATTCATAGCTGGGTCCAATCAGTTTCCCCCCCCCCCCCCCCCATTTCCACTTCCCTCTCCGCCTCCCTGGAAAGGGTCACAGTGTGTTTTCTTGTTTAGGATCCACTGTCGAGAACTGCTTTAACGTTGCTTTGTACTAAATACCACTAAAACAGGACTGCCTTGGATTTCAGAACACAGTGGATTCTGCCCCGACATTCGGCAACACTGCCTTCGCTTTAAAAACAAACCACCAAATGTGAGTTAAATTTTATTTCAATCTGCTTGATGTTTACATCAGCAGACCTCTCTTTAGTTTTCCAATTTAAAGTTCATATCACATAAACATGTGAGTGATATTTTCAACTTGTTAAGACCTTACCACTTACGTTTTTGAGCTTTACCTTCCCTTTTCCCTCGCCAGGCGTGTCCCCACGACGGTTTCTGCCCGCCCCACCAGAAGTGCTGTTGGGACACCTGCTTGGACCATCATACATGCAAACTCGCTGAGCCTGTTAATCCAATCCCCATTTAAAGTAATGGCTGAGCCTCCGAGGGATGCGCTCCGTAATTTGTTGAGTTTCTTGTTCTGAATTCTGTTTTTGGTTTCTGTTTGTTAAAACACGTGAGAGTTATCATCTATGTACTATCTATAGGCAATAAATCATTTTTATTTCATGAAGACTCTTCTTTGGTTCCTGAGACCTTGAACCTTGTTGCATATGACGGTTTGGAAGCACTAAAAGGCTCCCTTGACTGTGATTATTAATAATGAAAGTGATGGCAGCAGCACGATAAACTGCAACAAAACTGTATTAGATGGTGGTCATATCTGCAATAGTTGCCAATACCAAGAACACGGGATCACTGCTACTGCTACTTCTGCCCCAAACCCTTACCAGTGAAAACCTGGTAAAACTAAATTAGACTAAAAAAACAAGAAAAAAAACAAACAAACAAACTACGTTCCCACGACCCTATCTCACTAGCCGCACTGCTGAACAATGTGAGCTACATGTAAGATCAAGTGGCAGAACAAAACCACCTTAAGAGGAACAATATATTGGCTTTCTGTCGGTCCCTCAGCTTCTTCGTCTCCTAAGTGTTCGGTCTCGCGGTCAGTCGTCTGTCATTCTCGTGGCTTTTGGGTCTCTGGTATCTTGGTCCCCTGGCCATTCGATCCCTTTGAGAGTCTGGGTCTCCTAGTCTCATGGTCTTTCGGTCTCTGATTCTTTTTCATTCGGTCTCTTAGTCTCTCACTTGGTCACTTGACCACTTTGAGAGTCTTGGCCTCTCGCTGTTTCTGTTTCAATATTGTTATTAGTTTTCAGTATTTGCTACAGCTACAAGTACTGGGCTAATGCTATTTTCATTATGCTTAAAATCTGACATTACTTTCAGCACTTACAACAGGCTTAAATATTCGGTGAGATACGAAGGCTAGTAGTGTACTATGGCAGTTGAAGGAAAGGAACAATTACACAGGCCTTTATCTACTCATCTGCCATGCCGGCGTACAGCTTGGGCGTAGAAAGGCAATGCTACATTTGATATGCTTAGTTTAGTCCTTTATTTACCACCCTGGCTAACTGCACAAGCTGTGGTACATTTAATGCATGGTCATAACATTACACTGTGGTATTACATTTGAATTTTAAGCTATAACATAAAAAGTACTATATCAGTTCAAGGAAAGGATCAGTTACACAGTCCTTTAACTACTCAACCTGCCATGCTGGCTTATAGCTTGGGCGTGGAAAAGCATTGCTACATTTCATATGCGGTCATTTGATACTACATTCCAAATTTAGGATACAACATAGGTATATCTTCTAGGACAGATGATATGAAATAGTTTCTTAGTTCTCTGTACTTCATGCTAGGTGGTCTGAAATCAGGCAATCAGCATGATCATGCCTAGGGATTCCAACATGCGATACGATACACGCTTATCCTGTCATTTGCAATATTTCCTGCACCTTTGTCTAAAGTGTTCAGAGCCTGGTAAAACTAAAACTGTGAGGCGCAGAAAATTACCCCTGAGCCTTGATTCAATAGAAATGCGGTGGCCATGAGTATTCCTGCCAGTTTGCGTAGTTCTTTTTTGCAAGTGCATACTGCTTAAGTATGGTAGGGGGCAGTCATATAATGTATACTGAGGTTCGGAATTTTCCACGGTGGTACAGAACGTCCATGCAAGGTCTTAGTTATGGGTATGTTCAGCTGAGCTAAGTGTTTACATATTACTAGTATCCATGGATTTGACTATGAATCGGTGTTGTCATTCAAAGTTAGCTCCTCTATTCTGTGTTTTAGTTGTCTTTGGAATTCTGTACAATAGAGGGGTTCTCTAAATATTTGACACTGAATGTGGTAATCATGTATAATATTCCTTCATAATCAGAAGGCAAATTAAGTTCTGTTCTCATATTCACAATGCTTGTTCTAGAGGCACCAAGAAAGATTCTCATGGCTTTATTATGTACACGTTCTAAACAAGTCAACTGGAAACACTCGCGGCTGCCTTGTCTGGCTGGCGAGGCGGGGCTTCTGGCCTATATAAGGCGCCTCGTGTTCCGTCCTCATACAGTCATTCGTCGGCGATCGTGCAGTCAGCTACTTGCAACATGATGGTTAGGACCAGCTGCATATATTTTATGGCAAATATTTTTGCCATTAATGCATAATTCATTCTTATGATGTTATCATTATCATAATTGTAATGATCATTGTCATTTATTCATTTATGATTTAATATCTATATTATCAATATGAGAAAGTTAAAGAAAAAATATTCGATTTCAGATCCGTGTGCTCCTCCTCCTGGCCGTGACAGCCGTTGTCTTCACGGCTGCCACGGGAAACGCCGGCGGTTGCAGATATTTCTGCAAGAAGTGGCGACCGGGGGACGAAACGAGGCCCAGTTACTGCTGTGACGATGGAACGGTTAGCGACCCGCCTCCCCCTACCGGTAGGTTGATATGCATACATGCATATAAACACACACACACACACATATATATATGTAACTTTTCAAATCGCTGCTTTTTCTTTTCTTATTTATTAGTGTAGTGGAGGGACAGAGAAGGATTGGCAGAATACTTCATGTTGTGCCCATTTTGTGAGGCAAACGAAGTACAAATGCAAAGCAAAATGACAGACACAATCAGTTTCCCCTTCCCTCCCCCCCACGTTCCTTTGTACTAAATACCACTAAAAGAGGACTGCCTTGGATTTCAGAACACAGTGGATTCTGCCCCGACATTCGGCAACACTGCCTTCGCTTTAAAAACAAACCACCAAATGTGAGTTACATTTTATTTCAATCTGCTTGATGTTTACATCAGCAGACCTCTCTTTCGTTTTCCAATTTAAAGTTCATATCACATAAACATGTGAGTCATATTTTCAACATGTTAAGACGTTACCATTTACGTTTTTGAGCTTTACCTTCCTTTTCCCTCGCCAGGCGTGTCCCCACGACGGTTTCTGCCCGCCCCACCAGAAGTGCTGTTGGGACACCTGCTTGGACCATCATACATGCAAACTCGCTGAGCCTGTTAATCCAATCCCCATTTAAAGTTATGGCTGAGCCTCCGAGGGTGCGTTCCGTAATTTGTTGAGTTTCTTGTTCTGAATTCTGTTTTTGGTTTCTGTTTGTTAAAACACGTGAGAGTTATCATCTATGTACTATCTATAGGCAATAAATATATTTTTTTTCATGAAGACTCTTCCTTGAACCTTGTTGCATATGACGGTTTGGAAGCACTAAAAGGCTCCCTTGACTATGATTATTAATAATAAAAGTGATGGCAGCAGCAAGATAAACTGCAACAAAACTGTATTAAATGGTGGTCATATCTGCAATAGTTGCCAATATCAAGAACACGGGATCACTGCTATTGCTACTTCTGCCCCAAACCCGTGCCAGTGAAAACCTGGTAAAACTAAATTAGACTAAAAAACAAGAAAAAAAACAAACAAACAAACTACGTTCCCACGACCCTATCTCACTAGCCGCACTGCTGAACAATGTGAGCTACATGTAAGATCAAGTGGCAGAACAAAACCACCTTAAGAGGAACAATATATTGGCTTTCTGTCGGTCCCTCAGCTTCTTCGTCTCCTAAGCGTTCGGTCTCGCGGTCAGTCGTCTGTCATTCTCGTGGCTTTTGGGTCTCTGGTATCTTGGTCCCCTGGCCATTCGATCCCTTTGAGAGTCTGGGTCTCCTAGTCTCATGGTCTTTCGGCCTCTGACTCTTTTTCATTCGGTCTCTTAGTCTCTGACTTGGTCACTTGACCATCTTGAGAGTCTTGGCCTCTCGCTGTTTCTGTTTCAATATTGTTATTAGTTTTCAGTATTTGCTACAGCTATAAGTAGTGGGCTAATGCTATTTTCATTATGCTTAAAATCTGACATTACTTTCAGCACTTACAACAGGCTTAAATATTCGGTGAGATACGAAGGCTAGTAGTGTACAATGGCAGTTGAAGGAAAGGAACAATTACACAGGCCTTTATCTACTCATCTGCCATGCCGGCGTACAGCTTGGGCGTAGAAAGGCAATGCTACATTTGATATGTTTAGTTTAGTCCTTTATTTACCACCCTGGCTAACTGCACAAGCTGTGGTACATTTAATGCATGGTCATAACATTACACTGTGGTATTACATTTGAATTTTAAGCTAGAACATGATAAGTACTATATCATTTCAAGGAAAGGATCCGTTACACAGTCCTTTAACTACTTAACCTGCCATGCTGGCTTATAGCTTGGGTGTGGAAAAGCATTGCTACATTTCATATGCGGTCATGTGATACTACATTCCAAATTTAGGATACAACATAGGTATATCTAGGACATCAGATGATATGAAATAGTTTCTTAGTTCTCTCTACCTCATGCTAGGTGGTCTGAAATCAGGCAATAAGCATGATCATGCGTAGGGATTCCACCATGCGATGGAATCCACACAAAACGTATATTATGGCACGATACACGTTTATCCTGTCATTTGCAATATTTCCTGCACCTTTGTCTAAAGTGTTCAGAGCCTGGTAAAACTAAAACTGTGAGGCGCAGAAAATTACCCCTGAGCCTTGATTCAATAGAAATGCGGTGGCCATGAGTATTCCTGCCAGTTTGCGTAGTGCTAGCTCAGTCATGAACCCTCCGACAATCATGGTGCTGCAAAATATTGTTCTTTTTTGCAAGTGTATACTGCTTAAGTATGGTAGGGGGCAGTCGTATAATGTATACTTAGGTTCGGAATTTTCCACGGTGGTACAGAACGTCCATGCAGGGTCTTAGTTATGGGTATGTTCAGCTGAGCTAAGTGTTTACATATTACGAGTATCCATGAATTTGAGTATGAATCGGTGATGTCATTCAAAGTTAGCTCCTCTATTGTGTGTTTAAGTTGTCTTTGGAATTCTGTACAATAGAGGGGTTCTCTAATTATTTGACACTGAATGTGGCAATCATGTATAATATTCCTTCATAATCAGAAGGCAAATTAAGTTCTGTTCTCATATTCACAATGCTTGTTCTAGAGGCACCAAGAATGATCCTCATGGCTTTATTTTGTACACGTTCTAAACAAGTCAACTGGAAACACTCGCGGCTGCCTTGTCTGGCTGGCGAGGCGGGGCTTCTGGCCTATATAAGGCGCC